ACTACCTATCAAACCTGTAATAACTGAGATGGACGTCGGGACAAGACCCACGACATATTAATAAGGCTAGAATGATAAAGCAAATAAAAGGGATCCTCTGGAAGTAAGTAGGCTCACCAACAACTCTAAAGCTCAATTGGATCAACGAAGCGCTGTATGTTAATCCTGGTTACCTGTATCTGCATCATAAAAGATGCAGGCCAAATGGCGTCAGTAAATGGAATGTATGAGCATGTGAAGGGAATTCTAAAATAAGACATAAGCTTGGAAAGTGAACTAAAGGAACTTACCTGGTCTCAACTCAACTCAACTCATTTCAATATAAAGCCATAATATAAATGCAATATAAAGAAAAGCTTTAAAACATGTAGATAACAACTCAGTGTACTGAAAAATACAACAATAACTTGGTTTGTATATGAAAATACAAGTAACTGTGTGTATATAAGAATACAAAATATCTATGTGGAAATTTCTCTAATCGACAACCATCACTATGAGCTATGTGATGATACAACGTCTTGCCTCACGCTGCCAGGGCCATCTTATACCTTTCGGGGGTATAGAACCTACTACTAAGTGGATCCGCTAGTCTATGCTAAAAACATTAAGGAAATATCTAAAAAGTATGACCCTTTTCTACCCATGTTGGCTACACGATTTATGGAGACTTTGAATTATCTGAACTCAAACTCGTTCCCACTTTGGTGCTCAATACTACTCTTACAATGTAGCTAGCTCATATGTTTAAAAATATAACTCTTTCTGTGGTTTGAGATTATTACTCAAAAACTGGATCAAAAGCTCTCTTGGATATCGGTGTTTCCTCTTTTGTTTAAATGTGAAAAAATTTACTTTTTGGAATCTTTTGAAGAAAATGAATTTCACTCTTACTCTTACTCAACTCAATGCTCAAGTCTTAAAACAAGTGTAAAACATTTGTAAAAGACTTTTGAAAATACTTTAAGAACTCTCTAGACTTGACTCTTAACTTTCCTTGAATTTGAATTATGAATTCAAGGTTATGATTTGTGATAGGAAAGATATCGTGATTATTAAGAGTGTTTTTAGATAGTTAATCATGAGAAAAGGTAAAAAAACATTGTATGGGAACAAGTCCGCGATGCGGAGGTAAATTTAAAAATTTGATCGCGAAATTTTTTTGAAACAGTGGAGTCCGCGACCTATCCGCGAGAAAAAAATTTCACTGGGGAGCAAGTCCGCGTCGCGGACTTGCGTGCCATTTTCTGTCCGACTTTATCCTTTCTCGTTTTCTAACCCTAATTCGCCTAGAATCGAATAGTTTCTTCCCCAATCACTTAGATTCGAATACCCAACAGTAGTACACAAGAATCTACTCTAAAACAACCTTAAAAATCATACGATTATCTCAAGAACTCATCAAAACCACAACAATCAAGATTATGAAAGAAACTTCAATGAAACTCATCAAGAACTCCCATCCTTTACTTTCAAGAACGAAATTACAAATAATCATGATTGGCGTGTGGGTGAATGAACCCAACGCTATGTGAACTCACATACCTCTTACGGATCAAACCCCTGGCGAAAATCCGCAAGAAAACCTTTGATTTTGCAAGAACTTGATGATCGCCTTGACCTTTCTCCTCTTTTCTCCTCTTGAACTCTTTCCTCTAAAACTCTTGCATAATTTAGGATTGCGTAAACTGAACCAAATCAGTTTAGACCCAAATTAATTACTAAAATGAATTAAGTCTGATAGGGTAAGGAAAAGACCAAAATACCCTTCTTAAATTCAGGTAAGTTTCCTTATCTGAATAGCCCAACTTCAAACAGGCGTATCTCCATCATACGAGCTCAAAATTTAGCAAACTCGGTGGCGTTAGAAAGAGGATTACAAGACCTTTCATTTGATATCTTATAGGCCACCTAACTCATCCTGTAGTGAAAGTTATGGTCGTTTGAAGTTGACCCAAAACTCATACTTAGCATAATTTGCCAAAATTTTCAAATTTTTCTTTTTCCAAAAATAGGTTATTTCTAATTTTAGTTATTTTAAGGTGGGATGTTACATTATAGCCCGTTTGAGTTGGCTTAAAAGAATTAGCTTTTAAGTCAAAAATAAAAAGTCAAATATAAATGACCTTTAAGTCAAAATCTAAAAAGTAGGGGAGACCTACCTTTGGTTCCAAACTTATTTTAAGTTATTTTAAAACTTATTTTAAATTATTATTTTTACATTGTCAAACACTTTTAGACTTACTTTAAGTCATTATTGTCTTATTTTTAGTTATTTTTATATTTGTCAAACACTTCCAAAAGTCAAAATACCATTTAATTCCTTTTTCTTAATCTTAACATGTTTTCTAAACAAGTAAAGAATACAAGCAGGTTCTAATGCAAACCTTCATTAAAATTCATACAAAACAAAAGAATGATTCATAGGCCAAGAATTACCGTCTAGAATTTATATTTATGTAACTATCTCATTGTTAGGGGTTCAGAACCCTAGCTGGTGGTTAATTTTCTATAGAGAATGCAAAGACTGAATTGTATTGTAGATAAGAGAAAGATATGCTTACAATGATCAAGAAGAAAAAAGAAACAAGAACCAAAAGAGTAACTTCAATAATCAACAATGGTCGAAATTTCCAATGTTTTGTTTTGGCACACAACACTCTAAGGCCTCATTTGTTTTCATTAAGATTAAGACCTCTGAATCTGAATACATGTCTGAACATTTAGATTTGCATTAACAGATAGGTGTCTAGATCTGAATACACATCTGAATATTAAGATGCGGTCTCCAAATCTGAACACTGAATGATTATTGTTTTTTTCAGTATCTGAATGTGTATATGAAATCAAACATTATGCTAATAAAATATTATAAAAAATTCATTTCAACAAAAAATATTACTTTTTGATTAAAAAAATATCATAATCGTCAAGCATAACATAAAAAAAATCACGAATAAAAAGTATTTTATAGGCACAATATAATATCAAAAGTTCAATAACTTTGATAAATACTAGTTGAAAAATAATAAATAAGGTATCACATTATCAATGCCTAACATATATTTTGGCTAATTAGAAAAACTAAAGAATTCTTATCTTTTTTCCGATAACCTTAATCGAATTCTCTAACTTGTGAACCTCTAACGTCATTCATGCTTTTTTGTAGTGGACACTTTCACAAAATATACTAACATATGTATTGTATAATAACTCTTCCCATCCAAGTCCATCTAATTTTTCCATATATTCTTCAAATGTAGGTGCACTATTTTTTTAATCAATAACTCCAGAGCAGTAATCATCTTCTCATCAATTTACAATTCAGACGAATAAGTTTTTTTTCTTTCCCAAAACTTTTTTTTCCGTTGAAACTAAGATTGGGATGGATAATTATTAAGAGCTCCATTATTTTTGTCACCAACTAGTTCAACAACAATAATATATTAGTGTTTATCTCACAAACAAATTTGATGATCAAAGAGTCTCAATAAAATTATTGGCCTAAGCAAAATTCTAATAAGAGACCTCAAATATGTATACATAGTTATTATTTTTAATTATGAATAGTAATTTTTTTCACTCAAAAACCTTGATGAACATCAATACATGAAAAATATTATTGCAACAAGTGTTCTTGACAAACATCAATACACCCTAAGAAACTTATTAATATAAAAAAATACTTGTAAAGATTATGAAAATTTACCCATTCAGGAGGAAAACATTGGCGTTTGATTGAGAAAAGAGAGGAAGAAAGTTTGTAGTTATGAGAGCAAAAGTCACGCAAAGACCGAGAGAGGCGATACAATATTATTTTATAACTTATTAAATACGTCTGAATGGTGTTAAGACTCTCCTGCAGAGCTGATCCGTTCAGACCTTTTCATGTCCATTAAGAGGCTTTTTGAAAAAAAAGAAACAAATGGACTTAATGGGCTGAATCAGAATCATTCAGATTCAGACCTAAAAACCAAACACACTGAATGGACTGAATCTAAATGATTAAGATTCAGACCTCTATTAAGTGCAAACAAATGAGGCCTAAGACTCAAATGAAACCAGAAAACTGAATATTTCAGCATTCCTAATAAACTTTTATAATTAGGTATTTATAGTATCTAAAATTTCAAATAAAATAGTTGCATCCTTTGTTGTGGTCGCAATAAAATTGCGACATCGAATATTCTGCTTTATTTAGGCTATCACCAAATGTCATGCTTCACTTTCTTTCTTATTGTCAACATTTTCCTCCAAATATGTAAGGCATCAAATGAGTGCTAATTGGCGCTAAAAATACATATATAGCGGCAATTGAGCTATTGTCGTTAATTAATTGCCGCTAAAGATTATTTTTGATGTAGTGAGTCAATCTTAAAACTATGAAAAATTAAAGTTGATTTTTCGGAGGTACAAAAAATATCTTAGATATTTAGTAGAACTTTCTAGAATTTTGTAGAGTAAATATCTTTGATATTTATACTTAGGAAAAATCTAGTTGTTCTAGATAATTAGATATTTATATTAAAGTATAGAAATATCTAGATTCTTGTTATATAGTTAGAAGATAAGGATATCTAGATACTTCTTGTAAATGTATCTAGAATAATTTCTAGAAGCATCCCTATGCAAGTATAAATAGAGGTGACATTAGACATTTGTAAACATCCCAAACAAAGACAATTCAAGAGTCTAGTTCTCCTTTCTAATTTCCTCTTATTTAGTTGAATCTTCTGATCTTAATTAACGATCTTGGGCTAGCAGGAAGGCTTCCCGAATTATATTTTTCTTTTGCTATTCTCTACATGGTATTAGAGTCATAGCCATAGGTTGGCTTGTGGGTATTATTTCAAGATCAGATTAGAGGTAGATTCAACTAGTTTGTCTATATGGATTTTAGCGACCGTGTCAATGGACTGGGATGGAGCTGTTGAATCAGTCAAATTACAAGGTATGGAAAACATATATGGAATCATACCTTGTGGGCGAGGATTTGTGGGATGTTGTTAACGAGGGGTAACACAAATTTTCCTGATGACGGATCGGAAAATATCAGTGCATACAAGAAGTGGAAGCAGATTAATGCGAAGGCGGAGTTCATTCTGAAGAGGACAATCTCCTTTGATTTATTCGATCATATTATAAAGTGTAAATCAGCTCATGAAATATGGAGAACCCTCGATCGCTTGTTCAACAAGAAGAATGAAGCTCGGCTGCAAATATTGGAGAATGAATTGGCTAACACCACTCAAGGTAACATTTCTATCGCCGAGTACTTTTTGAAGATTAAGAACTTATGTTCCGAGATATCTTTGTTGAATTCGGAAGAGGCTATCTCTGAAGCACGATTGAGAAAAATTATCATTCGTGGTTTGAAACCTGAATATATTCCATTTGTGACGTCCATTCAAAGATGGGCTCAACAACCATCTTTGGAGGAATTTGAGAATTTTTTGTCGTCACAAGAGTTACTAGACAAACAGTTGGCTGGTGTATTCGTCAAATAGGAAGAAAGAAATGCTCTTGTAGCAGACAAGATGAACTTCAAAGGAAAAGTAAGAGATATGCCGTACTCTAGATCCTCATGTGGTTCAAGCTGGCCTGGAGAAAAAGAAGAGTCTTCTAACTATTATGGTAAGAAGCCTCTTAGATGCTATAGATGTGGTAAAATAGGAAACATAAAAAGATATTGTCGAGCCAAGAAGAGTAACATGACTCAAATTGAGAAAGCTACAGAAGAAGAAGACTAGGAAAGTGCTTCTTAGCTGAGGCTCGAGCAATAAATGTCATGGCTTCCATCAACTTTGAAAAAGACTGGATTGAAGATTCAAAATATAATGCAGTCGATCACGTAGAGAAATAAGACACTGATGTCATCGATATGAAGCAAGAAACTCTTGAAGATGTTCATACTAGTGATGTGGTAGCTTTTATCGAAGAAATCAAAGAAGTAACTCCTGAACATGCAATGTTTAAAAGTATGTATCTCGATGGTGACCTTCACAGAGAAAGCATTGATGGACATATATTGGAGGTTGAAGTCTCTAGTCAATCATCTGTCATATCGAGGTCAGTAACTGGCTTAGATCGAACATTGGAAACAAATGGAGAAAATGATGACCAAATAAATGAAGAAGTTGATTTTGAAGTTTCAAAGACAAATGATATGATTTTTGAAAACTCTGAAGCTTCCAAAAAATCTATCGAGGAGATCATAAGAGAATATGGCAATGGATCCGATGTTGGTATTGAGACTTCACACGAAATTGACAATATTTCACTGGATAATATAATTGTTGAGAAGTTAAGAGAAAGAGGGAGTTTGAGAACTCAACAAGGAGATAATCTACATGGATCAACTGATGGTGAGAAATCTTTATCATTTGAAGAAGGAAGAGGAGTCCGGAAGAAAATGCTAAGAGTTTCACCGAGATGTGGCTCAAAGCTTCGTTGAGCTCTTCCACGACAAGTGTGGGGTAGTTTCCAAAAAATCACTTTAAGGGGGAGTGTGAAAAATTAAAGTTGATTTTTTGGAGGTACAAAAAATATCTTAGATATTTAGTAGAACTTTCTAGAATTTTGTAGAGTAAATATCTTTGATATTTATACTTAGGAAAAATCTAGTTATTCTAGATAATTAGATGTTTATATTAAAGTATAGAAATATCTAGATTCTTGTTACATAGTTAGAAGATAAGAATATCTAGATATTTCTTGTAGATGTATCTAGAATAATTTCTAGAAGCATCCCTATGCAAGTATAAATAGGGGTGACATTAGACATTTGTAAACACCCAAAAAACAACCCAAGAACAACCCAAACAAAAACAATTCAAGAGTCTTCTTCCATAAATAAGTTCTCCCTTCTAGCTTCCTCTTCCTTAGTTGAATCTTCCGATCTTAGTTAACGATCTTGGGATAACAGAAGGGTTCCCCAATTATACTTTTCTTCTGCTATTCTCTACAAAAAAACATTTTAAGATTAAGATTCAAAATTATATGTTTAAATATAAATTTTAAATTAAGTTTGTTTGGATACGTAAGAAAAGAATTATAGTTTAGAAATAAGATATTAAAATATTCTAAGACGTTGCATTGATAGATCACATATATCTATGTTCCTTTTATAAATAAATAATTGTGAATACAAACTTTCAAATACATATCATTTTATAAAGATCCACTAGTCAATACTAGCAATAATCATTTATTTTTTAATATAATTGCTCAGATGGCACAAATAATTTATTCACGTTGAGCATAATTCTTTTTTTGCAAAAACTAAATAAGTATTTTTTTTTCCCTTGAATATAAAATTATGAATTAAGTTTTATATTTTAAAATAAAATAAAATAAAATCATGATTTAGAATTCTAAATCATTGAAAAATTTTGAATTTGAAATTATGATTCAAAATTACATATTTAAACATAAATTTAAAATCATAATTTTATATTACATGTCAAAACTGATTCCGTTTTCTAAATATAGTCACCGACACCATGCGTTGGAACTGTCGGTTGCCTTGATGCCCTTCACAAATTGAGAATTATTAATCACTATCCAATATTCTATTTAACTACTGAAATCTTTCCCTCATTAGTCTCTTAACCTTTATTTGATCAAAACTTCTATTTTCTATTTAATCACTCTCATGGCATGTGGCTGTCACATTATAGAATAAGACCACTTGCTACGTAATTATTATGCCATAAGTACACACTATGTATTCAACTTCTAGGAGAATTGGACCATTTATAAACTGAAAAACGATTAATTCCATTAAGATTTGTGTTCTATTCATCAGTACCAAGTATGTCTTAAGCTAATAAATTCAACTTAGTGAAATATTTATATACAAAATAGTAAAAAATAATTGTTTTTAAAGATTAGTTTTTATAAATTAACAAATAATATGGGACAGACAAAGTACAAAGGGCAAACATTTTTATAGCAATGATTGTTACATGGGATTCTCTTGTTACTTTCAGCCAGAAAGATTAAACTTAATTTCTATCACATGCAATTTTCTTTCATCATATTATTATTACATCATACTACCATACTCCATTTTAATTGTTATAATTTTCTTTTTTAAAATCAAATTATAAAGACTTTGATTAACATTTTATGATGTATTTTTTTGGGATAGCGGTCTAAAAAATACCTCAACTTTGGTCGGATTTGCTGTTGCGATACTAAAACTTTCATGAGGACCCTATTACCTCCGTAGACTATTTAATACCGTATTTTAAACATATATATTTGCCCACGTGGACATAAAAAATAATGCAAAATTATAAATAGTAATGTGTCCATGTGGGCACATATATAGCTTTAAAATACACTATTAAATAGTTCAGGGGATAAAAAATACGGTATTAAATAGTCTAGAGAGGTAATAGGGTCCTTCTGAAAAGTTTAGTATCGCAACAGCAAATCCGACCAAAGTTGGGGTATTTTTCAGACCCTTATCCCTATTTTTTTCATCATATTGATATATAAAAAATTGCAATGTATAGTACTTTTCATATAATTTTTGAATATCTAATTTTTTCTTAAAATATCAAATTAATGTAATTTAATTTAACTTTGAAAATTAGTCAAATTGACTTTCGAGAAGCGCAATATACTAATTTATAACGTACGTCAATTATGCATTTTCTCCCTCCAACTTCTAAGCTACTATCTCTTGCCATCTTTTCTACTTCATTTGTCTTGTATTAATCATTCACTTTCTTTTTTACTCTTTTCGTCCAATAATACTTGTCCACCATTGAATTTACACACTTTTTAACAAACTATATATATATGAGTGTAATTTTACCATATTACCTTTTGAATATAATAAATATAATATCTTGAAAAATATATAATTAATGATAAGGGTTAATTAAGAACTAAGTATAAAATTATTCATTAATTTTATAAAGTGAACAAATATTATTGGATATCCCAAAATAGTATAGTGGATAACTATTATTGAACGGTGAGAATACTTGCTTGATATATTTAATGCGTCTTATTGATCAATATCAAGTATACATTAAACTAATAACGTAGACGTGTAATACGGGACGGATGGAGTAATACCATTAATATATGATGTAGACCAATCCCGAGATGACATGACATTGTAAATCAAATTATTAATGCACTCACACATAAATTCAACACATGAAATGAGAATTATAAGAAAATAGTCCATCTAGAATGATGTAAAGGAAGTACTTTTTTATGTAAAAGAAAAGCATGAAATGAATTCCATAATTTATTAGTTATAAATAAAATCTTAATAAATTACAAATTGCAACAAATATATATATTAAAAAAAGAAAAGATAAAAATGTAGGACAATGAAAATCTTCTTTTCTCCCCCCCCTTTTTTTTTTTGCCATATGGGGGGGTAAGAAACTATAGACCATTAATTAAGTAAGAAAAAAAAAGATAAACAAATTTTTTAGCTCTTTTTCTCAACTTCACCACCTTCTACTAAATAAGCTTTCTTCCTTCTATCAGCACTACTTGAGATGCAAATCACAAGAAAAAATGTGGCATAAATTGCATGAACTCTCCAGCTAGTTTTAGGTGGTTGATGGAGCACAGCTCTATGAAACACTGTCATGTAATAATGAAGCCCAACAGCAAAGCCCACAATTGTTTGAGCCAGGCCTATGAGTTTTGTTGTTGGCCCAGTTTCAGTGGAAAACACTAAGATGAGATACATGAGGAGCATCAAAAGGTACAACACATAAGCAAGAGTTTGCAATAGCTGTAAGCAAATGTAGGTGGATTGTGCTGTAGCATAGAAGAATTTCAATGGTTCTAAGCCAGTGACTAAAGAGGAGAGGCAGAGGATGGAGAAGTAAATGGAGAGGTAAACTTGGATGAAGATTAGGAGTTTTTGGAGAGAGAAATAGGCTTTGATTTTGTTGAAAATGAGAGAGACTAGAATGAGAGGGATTAAAATGAATGCAAATGAGATTAGAGAGGCAATTGTTGGTGCATATTTGTTTCCAACATAGGGTTTGAAGTTTTTGGTGATTTCTTTGTTTGCTTTGTTGAGGTAAACTTGTGAGGTTTTGGAAATTTTCTCCAAATCTGGCAAAAAGGTTTCATGGAATTTGGAGGGCAAGTCTCTGAATTCAGAAATCATGTCATCATCTTCATTTTCTAGCCAGCTGTACTGTGATTTTTTCTGGGTTGTCTCTGGTTTCTTGACTGCAGGGGTTTGGGTTTTAGTAATTGGGGTTTTGGATTTGGACTCACTGGTGTCTTTTTTCAATTGGGTTTTAATGGTTTTGGCTGTTTTGTCTGTTGGCTGGATTTTACTAATTGGGGTTTTTGATTTGGACTGATTGATGCCTTTTTCCAATTGGGATTTAGTTGATTTGATTGTTTTGTTCTTGGGAGAAGAACTTGAGCTGATTTTGGGTAGATCTGAAGGCTTCTTGATGGTGGAAGAAGTGATTTTGGTTGAATTTGAGGACTTGGAGGGTGTGAGATTGAGCTTCTGAAGCTGGGATTTGAAAGTAAGTTTCTCTGATTTGGTAATGGTAGAACTAGGCTTGGTTTGTGATTCAGAAAAGGAAAGTTTTGATTTTGAAAGCTTGGTTTGGTTCTTGGTAGAACCAAAACTAGAAGAAGAAGAAGAAGAAGTCTTGATTTGCTTGGTTTGATTCTTAGAAGAGCTATTGGTTGATTTGATGAGTTTGGTTTGGTTCTTGGAAGTAGAAAGTGAAGTTGGATTTGTGGTGATTTTCTTCTTAATTGGCTTTGAATCATTGTCTAGCTCCAACATTCTTCTGCTTCTAACATTATTATTGTGAGGTTGGAGTTCACTATGTGCAGGAATGAATGAAAGAGTGAATAACACAAAAACAAGACATAGTACTAAAAGTACCTTAGTAAAGCTGCAGGAATGTAGAAGTGGAGCCATATGTACTGACTCACTCACTCACTCTTGTTCTGAAGAAGATCTAATGAGGATTCTCCAAGATTGGATCTGAATTTTAGACAAGATGATAAGTGGAGAAGGGAAGCATTAAAAAGAGTGATAGAAATGTAGGACTTTTTAGTGTGTGTGAAAAGGGGAAGTTGAAGCAAGGTAAGGAGACTTTAATGCCAAAGTAGAGGCTGTGAGATATGTCACATGGAGCAAACAGACAAGCACAGTATCCCTGTACTACGCGCTTTACCTATCTAGTAACTAATATACTAAACCAATCTAAGTTGTGGTGTAATGATAAATTATTTCATTATTAATTAGATGTCTCGAGTCTGAATCTTAAATATGGAGAAAATCATGTTAGAAGAGTGACTCCTGAATAAGCCATGCAGTGTGCGATTCACATGTAGATGAGCTTCAATAAGTGCTCCAGACATGGGGGTAAAAAAAAAAACCAGTGTACTACAATAGTCTTTTTTTATTTCTTTCACTCCAAAACACTGTTTCCTAAATGTAGGCAGGCAGCAATTGCAATGAAAATAATTCTTCCTGTTATTAAGCTGCACAAGGCAAAAGTGAACAAATAGTCTACTCTAAAACTATAACTAGATAAGAATTGATGTAGACTAGAATTGAGCTACAATTTTTGATGGACTAGTGTAGTTGAAAGTTAGATACACATAAAGGACATTCAATTTATAGTAGTAAAACTTATTTTTCTAAATCACATAATTGCCAAATTATCACTTTTTCGTGCTATATTATTCAGGCCAATTTTCGTCTGATTTCACTGGAATAACAACTATTTAATTAAAAGAATATATTATTTTAAAGTGAGAATTTTATAACCCCAAATGGATTATCCATATATACCAAAAAAAAAAACCAACCCATCCGATTAAAAGAACCAACTCAAATTCTTTAAAAAGTTTGTAAAAAGGGAATATTGAATAAATTTTGTTCATTCATATTCATAGAAGTAGTCAACAATCGGCTATTAACCGTTTAAGTATTACAGAACATTATTTTGGAAGCAAAGTTTTTGAAATTTAACATATAGAACTAGGCATTATGTATTACACTTCCTTTACGATGTTTCGAATTTGACATTATCATGCGAAATCAAAAGATTATGGATAGACTAACGGTAAAGAAATTGGGTCAGGATTTTTATTTTGGAAAGTGACTTAAAAATTCTAGGATAGACCAATCTCACATAAAATCTAAACAAGGTGAGATCTAGGACAATCCGGGAATGAATGAGGTTGTATGTCTACGCTTGGATCAAAATTCCTAATAGCTAAGACATAAGTGAATCCATAAGGCATTTCAAGATTGAATTCAGGTGAGTAAAACTTCCAGTATTGATCTTGGCGTGAAAGGGTTAGTATAGAATGTCAAGTTTCAGAGGTGTGTTGCGAACTGTGGGCTTTGGGAAGGATTTTACGAGTCTCTGACTCCATGTAAGCCGCTAGAGTGGGTGTCACACCACTATAACGGGATAAATTAATTCTCACTATAGCGGATGGGCCATATTGGTAATGTTGCTATAGCGGGGTTAGTTGGGGTTATGCAGAAAATTCTCAAAAACCTCTTATTTTCTACAACTTCGTTCTTGGAATTGGAAAGGGCAATTTAGGATAGTTTCCTTCAATTTTTTCACCAATCTCTTTGGTAAAGGTAAGTTAATTACTTCCCTCAACTCAGTGGCGGACCTATGTTGCACATTATGGGTGCTTAAGCACCCATTGCCTTTTGTGACAATGCTGTTATTTATATACAAAATTTAGTAATTCATTAAAATATATTAGTTGAGCACCCATTCAATGTAGCAATTTTCGAGCTAAAAATAATTGAGCACCCACGATACAAAATTTCTGGATCCGCCACTGCCTCTACTTATATTTTCATTCTTAAGCCTTAAAATCTAAAGTGCTACTCTTTTGGAAGGGTTTAAACTTGAATTCATGGTGAAAATGGCTCTTGTTGGGTAGGATGATCATCAAGATGGTCTGGGGTTCAAGATTTGTTATAATGCATGTTTAATTAGGTCATTGTTTATTGGTTATTATATTTTTTTTATTGTTTTAGATTATGATCAAGCCAGAATTCATAACAAGGGAAAACCTCAAGTTCTTGAGAACATTCAGGAATGTTTCGAGGTAAGTGATGATTGTTGATTTTCGTTTATGCTATATGTGTTTATTAACTACATCGTTAGTAATGCAAGCACGATATCTGATTAAGGAAATTAAAAAGATATAATATGAAATGAAAGGTGTTGTCAATCACATACAATGATTGTGTTACATAAATGTACATATATGATTGTGATTCATTTTAGTTGTGATGTGTTATGTGTTGATGATTGAGATCGGGTACCACGCCGGTACACTAACATCTGGAACGGGTACTACGTCAGATCCTAATATCTGAAACGAGTACCACACTGGTACAATGGAAATGGATATCATACTGGTACACTAACTTAGAAACGGATACCACGCCAATACACTAATAGTTTGTATGTGTGGGTTCAATGAGAGAAGCGGACTAACTTGTTGTACTTGTGTTGTGATTCAATATTATGTGTTTACTGAGTTGTGGTTGCCTATCTATATTTGTATACTAAGACTAGCCCATGATCCTAACAATACACTATGATTGTGTACTGATACTGCACTTGCTCTTTCTTTGTTGAGTACAAGCATATTCAGGTGGATGCTTCGAGACCTCAATTGTGAGACGCACCACATCAGAATATAATGGTTAGCTAATTTCTTCCAGGCTGTGACAGATTCTTCTCTATCTTGCTGTCCATCTTTTCGGGGACAAGCACTTAGATTTTAGATTATATTTTCTTGTTGGGGTTACATCATTTACCCTAGATTTGTTAGATGTTTTGGTACAACGACTTTCAGATCTAGGGAGTTTATTTCGCAAATGATGAATGAGGTCTTCAAGCCTTACTTAAATTCTTTTGTGACTATGTTTATTGATGATATTCTAATTTATTCCAAAAGTAAAGAGGAACATTTAGAGCATCATCCTATTGTTCTGGATATCTTGGGAGGGCAGAATGTATGTCAAGTTTTCAAAGTGTGAATTTTTGCTAACACAATCACTTAGATTTTAGATTATGTTTTCTTGTTGGGGTTACATCCTTTACCCTAGATTTATTAGATGTTTTGGTACAACGACTTTCAGATCAAGGGAGTTTATTGCGCAAATGATGAATAAGGTCTTTAAGCCTTACTTAAAATCTTTTGTGACTATGTTTATTGATGATATTCTGATTTATTCCAAAAGTAAAGAGGAATATTTAGAGAACCATCCTATTGTTCTGGATATCTTGGGAGGGCAAAAATTGTGTGTCAAGTTTTCAAAGTGTAAATTTTGGCTGGCTTTTGTGGCCTTCATGGGGCATGTAGTTTCAAAGGAAGAAGTGATGGTAGATCCCCAAAAAATTGAGGCGGTTAAGAATTGGGTCCGAGCTAGTTCTATGACAGAGTTAGAAGTTTTGTGGGTCTTTGCCAACTATTACTGTTGATTCATCAAGAACTCCGCTTCTATTGCTACTAATCTGACCAAACTGACTCGAAAAAAGGTGTCTTTTGTGGGTCTGATAAAAAGAGTTTTCAAAAACTCAAGACAATTTTGACTACAACCCCCATCTTTACATTATCGGTGAAAGGTAATGATTTCATTAGTTATTATGATATTTTACATTCGAGTTTAGGTGTTGTGTTTATGCATAAAAGAAATGTCATAATCTATGCTTCAAGGTAGTTGGAGATCATTGAGAGGAATTATCCAAACCATGATTTAGAGTTGGCAGCAGTAGTGTTTTCTCTTAAGTGTAAGATATTCACCAAATATTATAACTTGCATCATGTGTTCACTTAAAAGGATCTAAACCTGATACAAAGAAGATGGATATAGTTGTTAAAGGACTACGATATGACCATTCAGATAAAGTAAGTGTGGTAGCAGACACATTGAGCCGGAACACAGTTAGCATGGATAGTTTGGCTTGCTTGGGGGTGTCCAAACTACCCTTAGCCAGAAAAATTTAGGCTCTGAAGTTTAAGTTCATGCATTAGATGTCTTTGAGAAAGGTGCGGTTTTAGCTAGTATTGAGGTTAAACCCACTTTCATAGAAGAGATTAAGACTAAAAATTTTGAGGATGACGACTTAAACAAGATTAGAAGAAAGGTGGTGTCTAGGGATACTTGAGATGTTACACTAAATGCAGGTGGTGTGCTTAGTTTCAGAGGATGAATTTGTGTTTCTCCGATTGATAGCTTGATATAGAATGTGTTAGCAAAGTCTCATGGTTCATGGTATTTGATTCATCTGTGCTTGATCAAGATGTATTGGGATTTGAGGCAGCTATATTGGTGGTTTAGAATGAAGAAAGATATAGTTGAGAATGTATTTAAGTGTTAAAATTATCAGTAGGTAAAGTATGAGCTTCAAAGTTTTGTCGGTCTACTTCAGAGAATGCCCATTTTTGAGTGGAAGAGGGAAATGATAGCTATGAATTTTGTGTTGGGACTCCCTAATACTTTGGAAAGGTATGATTTTATCTGGGTTATCTTTGATAGGTTGACCAAATTAACTCAGATAGAGGCATTTAGTTTACTTCTAAATTTTTGGGTAAGTTGCATGAAGCGTTGGGCACTCAACTCACCTTTAGTATAACTTTTCACCCACAAACAGACGGTCAGTTAGAGAGAACGATTCAAGCACTAGAGGACATACTGAAAGCCTGTGTGATTGATCCTGAAGGTCATTGTAATCAGTTCTTTCCTTTGTGTGAGTTCTCTTATAACAACAGTACTTATCTTTTAAGCATAAATGTGGACCATTCGAGGCACTCTATGGGATGCAGATCGCCTATAGATTGGTTTGAGGCTAGTCATGTGAAGTCTCTGGGTGTTAATCCGATGAGGAAAGATCAAAGGAAGGTAAAAAGCATCCAAACCAAGCTTTTGGTAGCTTAGAGTAGAAATAAAGAGTATGTGACCATAAGATAAAAGACATGACTCTTTAGGTTGGTGAACAAGTGTTGTTGAAAGTGTCACTAATGAAGCGGATGATGAGGTTCGGTAAGAAAGGTAAGATTAGCCTTTGCTACATTGGTACATTCGAGATTCTTGACATTGTGGGGCCAATGACTTACATGTTAGCACTGTCACCCAACTTGTCTGGAGTTCATTCAGTTTTTTAT